AGTGTGCTTGAACCCTCAAACTTGCACTCGTACCCATTTGACCTAGCTTGGATGGCTAGTTGACCAGAACTCGACCTGAGGGAGATAAAGATGTTTGATACTGTGAACAAGTCAAATTGCTACAATCTGATAAACTAGACTTTTGCTTATGAATTACAACAACTCAAAATTCCAACTGGAATGGAAGGATTCTTCTATCCAGGAACAACCTTGTTTCCTCAGTGTACTGGGTTAATTCTTTGTTGTTGTTGTTGTTAAGCGATGTCTAGTTGGTTCTGACCCACAGTGACCCTATGTAGGGTTTCCAAAGAGCAGCTGACAAGCTTGAACCGCCGACCTCGCAGATCAAACTGACTTTGCAGTCCAGCACATTAACCCACAGCACCACAGTGGGTAATAAGGGTGAGCAATTTAGACACTGGCTATAAAAAAATGGGGCGGGGGAGCTATAAAGGCATGAAGTGGCTGACTTATAAGCTTTCATGAGTGTGCTTAGTTTCAAAATGAGGGGTGTAAGGTAAAATCCCCACTGAATAGTTTCCATATTTTCCGGATGGATCTGGTGAAAGGGGATTGGGGGGGGGGGGGGATGACGGTGATAGGATTTTGACTCACTTGTGAGTAATTGTTAGCAGGATCAATTTTGATGGTCACACTATAATTGTAGAAGATGTGGAACTAAAAGTGGGGAGTAGTTAATCTTTCATTTCAGGAACAGATGATCTCAGGACCATCAAGAACATGAGTGGAAGGTCAAATCTCTACCTAGAAAAGTGGTGACAGCAGAGATGGTGGCAGAGGAAGTGGCATGGAGAGACAGAGCAGTTGTGGGCTCTAGGCCCATAGACTAAGAAAAGTTTTGTGGCTGGGGGGCAGGAGGCTGGCTGGAAGAATGTGCCCTTTGGACATTTAAATACGTAATACTTTTGTTTTCCAAGTGTAAATCAAATATTTTTGCTTTGTTCACTTATGAATTATAAGATGTAAATGTGGAGCCACAGGAAAGAAGGAGCAGGATAACGGTTGTTGCAGGAAGGGGATTGTAATCATTGAAATGAAACAAAGTGTATAATTTGCTGAATGTAAAAATGATGGTCTTGTCTGTAAACTTTCATCTAATTCACAATAAAAAGTTAAAAAAAAAAGAAGAAGAAATTTGGAAGACAGTTACCCGACCAATAGATTGCAAGAGGTCCATATCTGTGCCTATTCCAAATGGATGTGACCCAACAGAATGTAGAAATAATTGGACAATATCATTAATAAAACATGCAAATAAAATTTTCTAAAGATAATTTTAAAACGGCTGCAACGGTACATCAAAAGGGAACTGTGAGAGGTTCAAGGCAGATTTAGATGAGGACGTGGAACCAGAGATATCATTGCTGAAGTCAGATGGGTCTTGGCTGAAAGCATACCAAAGAGTACCAAAACAATGTTTACTTTTGCTTTATTGGACATGCAAAGGCTTTTGACAGTGTGGATCATGACAAACTGTGGGTAACATTGTGAAGAATTGGTATTCCAGAACACTTAAATGTGCTCAAGAGGAACCTATACATAGACCAAGAGGTAGTCATTCGAACAGAGCAAGAAGATACTGAATGCTTTAAAATCAGGAAAGGTGTGAGCCAAGGTTGTATTCTTCCACCAAAGTTATTCAATCTGTATGCTAAACAAATAATCTGAGAAGATGGATTATATAAAGAAGAAGTTCACATCAGGATTAGAGGAAGACTCTAACAACCCTTGATATGCAGATGACATTCAACAACCTTGCTTGTTGAATGGGAAGAGGATTTAAGATACAAACCAATGAAGATTAAAGACCACAGCCTTTAGTATGGGTTGCACCTCAATATAAAGAAAGCAAAAAGGCTTACAACTGTACCAGTAAATAACATCATAATAAATGTAGAAAAGATGGTCAAAGACTTCATTTTGTTTGGATGCACTATCAACTGTTAAGAAAATCAAATGACATTTGATTGCATTAAGAAAATCTGCTTCACAAGACCTCTTCAAAGTGTTCAAAAACACGTATGTCATTTTGAGGACTAAGGTGCACCTGACAAAGCCATCGTATTTTTGTGTTATATGCATGTGAAAGCTGGACAATAAATAAGGAAGACCATAGAAGAATTGATGCACTGGAGTTATGGTGCTAGAGAAGAATATTAAAAGTACTATGGACTGCCAGAGGAACAAACAAACATGCGATGGAAGAAGTACTGCTAGATTGCTCCTTAGATGCTAGTATGAAGAGACTTTGTGGTTTATTCTTTGAACATATAATCAGGAAGGACCAGTCCCTGGAGAAGGATATTATGCTTGGTAGAATGGAGGCTGAGCAAAAAGAAGACCTTCAATGAGATGGACTGACACTATGGCAGTGGCAATGAGCTTACATGTAACAACAATTTTGAGGAGGATACAGGACCAGGCAGTGTTTTGTTCTTTTGTACAGAGGTTTAAAATAAATTGGAAATCACTCAACAGTACGTAACAACAACAGTCTATCTATCTATCTATCTATCTATCTATCTATCTATCTATCTATCATCTATTTATGTATATATGTACACACATATATATGTACATACACACATGCACATACACACACATATAGTTATGGCGTGGTGGAATAATGCACTGGACTGCAAGGTTGATTTGAACTTTGATTCAAATTCCCCAGCCGCTCCTTGGAAATCCTATACAGTGTTGCTATAAATTGAAACTGACTCGACAACACTTAACACACACACACACACACACACACACACACACACACATCTATATCTATATGTTGTTGTTAGGTGCTGTCAAGCCGGTTCTGACTCATAGTGACCCTGTATAGGGTTTCCAATGAGCAGCTGGTGAGTTTGAACTGCCACCTTGTGCTTCAAATCGATATTGCAGTCCAGTGCTTTATTCCACAGCACTACATGAGGACTCCTATATCTATCTATATATCTAATTATTTTCCCTTAAGAAAATTGCTCACATGGTTGCAGAACCTGTAAAGTCCAACCTCCCTGGATCGGAAGTCGGCCTTGAGATGTCTCCTGACTCATGTAACGGAAGGGGCTGACAGATTAGAAATGGATAGGTCAGACAACAGGCTGCTGACTCACGGGCTGTAGAGGCTGACGAATCCAAGGCCAATAGGAATATGACAGGCAGCTGGCTCACAGGTTTCAGAGGCCAACAAATCCCACGACTGTCAAGTACTGGCTCAAGTTCTAAGAATAGAAGTCATATAATGACTTCTGAAAGTTAAATGCAGGATTCAGTGCAAGCAAAAAAACTAGAGTGCTTTGCCAGAACATGAATATATATTCAATGCAGCCTACACCCCTGAGAAGACTGCCTTTTAATTGACTGACTGCTCATAGCAGATCTCATAATGGAAGAAATTTTATCAGATCTCATCACTGGGAATGTCTACATCATTACACAGTTACCAAACTAGAAAATCATGGCCCAGCCAAATTGACACATGACCTTAACCATCACAGTCATTGACTCTATGTTCTTCTAGGAAAATCACTCTGTTTTCCTCTCTGCCAACAAGAGATAAATATGATTACTTGGCCTTTATAGAAACTCTAATGGGGTGTTTAAAGCAAAAAGAAAACTCCATGGATCAAATGAAACACTTCTAAGAAACCCTGCAAGGATTCCAATCTTAATGTCAATACCTATGATCCAAAAATGAAATAGTACTATATAAAGAGACAAACTTCTGGCATGGCACTGAGGGATGAGCACTGTACTGTGAACCACTGTGAACCACAATATTGGCAGCTCAAATCCACCAGCTGCTCCTTGGAAACAAGATACATGGTCACTATTAATCAGAAATGACTCAATGGCTATTAACAACAACAAATATGTTTTTTAAAAATTAGCTTTTGAATTTGACGGATTAATTCAAATGGTAATAAGGCTATTTAAAATAGTCCTTCCTTGTTATAGTCTTTAATTGTTGCTTTGTGTTTATGTATAACATGTAAGAAGGGACTTCAAGAAGTTCATGAAAAAATGGAATTGAAAGTGAATGGAATTTTGCATTAACTTTTTGAAGACTTCATATATATATATTTTATACCCACATACACTTCTTGTTAAAGTGCTATTGAGTCAGTTCCAACTCATAGTGACCCTGTATAGGGTTTCCAAGAAGTGGCTGGTGAGTTTGAACAGTTAACCTTGCAATTCACATCGACCTTGTGGTAGAGTGTTTATCCTACAGAGCCACACCAGAACTTCCCACATATACTTCTTGTTGTTATGTGCTGTTGAGTTGGTTCTGACTCATGGCAACCCTTTATATTGTTTCCAAGGAGTAGCTGGTGAATTTGAACCACTGACCTTGTGGTTCAAACTGACCTTGTGGTTCAGTGCATTATCTCATAGTGCCACACCAGGAGTCCCCAAGTACACACGTAAGTGCCATCGAGTCAGTTCTGACCCATAGTGACTCTGTTTAGGGCTTCCAATGAATGGCTCATGAGTGAGAGTATATTTACATGGTTACAAAATAAACATTGTGACATTTACATTGAATTGACATGAAAAAACAATAAAATGCAACATTATAAGGACGGTTTGGATTAGATATGAGGAAGAGTTTCTTGAAAGACTGACTGAGTATTACGTCAGATTTCCAAGGGCAGGTTATGAAATTTCCTCCTATGATGATGTAAGATAAAAATAAAAAAAAGGAATAATACATGACCTATGAAGTCTTTTAAGCTTTAAAAAGAATATGACAAGTGACCAGCAAACGTCTCAGTCACTCTCTCAGTTATTTACTTCTTCTTTTTACCATCAGAATATTTTAATTTGCCATACAGCTTATATTTCAATAGCATTTTGTTGGTATTGAAATTAGGGAGACTTGTTTTGTATTTCTATGCTTTGTGGTGTCTAGCACAGGTAACTGTTCATTAAATATATGGTGAACCATTAACTAAAAGGAAAACTAATGTTCTTACCTTTTCATCATGAGGTAGATCCAGGAAGGAGCCAATACTGCAAAGGATAACATGTCCTTCTGTATAGAATTTGAACATTTAGCAACTTAAAATCTTGAATTAAATACCGCATTATCTAAATAAATACTACCCAGACGGCCAAAATGTTTTGATTCAGGCATTTGATGGAAATAAAATAAAATCTTGGGAACCAAAAGTGAAAGAAAAAAATCTCATATCAATTTCTAGGTGTAGCAATTCCCTTTTGTTTCAGGCTTTATAGCTACAAGGAGATTATTGATTCATAGTAAAGCTTCTTCTAGAGATCAGGCTAGATGAAAATAGAAATGCATAGACCACTACTAACTGGAGTTCAAACTGTTACATAGCTATTTTTTCTACATACAAATGGTAAGTTTGGAAAATAGCTATATATAAAAAAGCAATTAGTGGTGACTCGCTGGCACTTAACAATGGCAATAACAATGGTGTCTGAGGATGTCTGTTTAATATAATAAATAATTAAATAATATAATT